AGGGAAGGCAGGATTTGATCCTCTCCTGTTCACTGAAGCTTCAAGTTGGTGTGTTTCTTTTGGCTTACTTATGATGCTTTATTACCATAGCAGTGCAGTGTTTTTACTTCTTTTTATAAGTAAAAAAATACAGGACTAACTATTGTGATAATACTGAGTACATACTCAAATGACTGTCTCATCTACTGTTTATTATTGTCTGCTTTTCCTCTGGTTAYTAAATATGAAGTTTTGTTCCCAGAGTTTGTTCCAACTGAGGATTCACTGTACAATCAGCACCTTATGGTACATAAATACAAATAAAAATCAATTGCAGAAAGCTTGAGCTGTAACATTCCAACAGAGTCCATGAGAAGTGGATTGAAGATCAAAAATGTGAGTATAGTAGTACTTCTTTCTCACTGCACTAAATTGGTTATATTTTTGCCAAAAAGTTACTGTACATAAATGTACCTGCCTTACCATATAAATAGAAAAATCAAGTTTTGATGGGATCCGACGTGGGGATGGGTGAATGCAAAGATCAATACAAAAGTGGGCCATGTTAACAGGTAGCCTAATGGGTTTTGAAAGCTTTCATAAAGTAACTTCCAAGCACTGACACTGACCGCTTCAAAATTACTAAATCCAGTGAGAGCCCTATTACTGTTTTTCAAACCCTGTAATTGAAATAAAAGTTTTAAGTTGAGGCAAGAAGCATCAGTATTTGTTTCACAGCAACTTCGTGTTGGATGACCACAGTAGTTGGCTAACCTTCTCCAAAGAATATATTGATTGTAGAACGCCTGCTTCTGTAAAGATAATTTGGGCACTGTTGGAGTTGCTTCTATCAGCCTGACATGACCAAACAGGAACTGCACGTGCTTGGTGTCCTTCCAGGCCAACCCAGGCAATGGCCAAGCGCAGCTACCTGTCACACATCTCACCACTGATGTGTCAGCAGGTTTGATCAACTTCAGTGCCAATGGCTGTTGTGTACCTGTTGGAGGCAGGGCAGGCTCTCTGAGTGCTGCCACACGGCTGCTGCACAGGCAGAAGGTGGAAAGAAATGCATGTGGTTTCCCTCTTTATTTCCCATTCCTAGACTTTTGGTGGGTGATTTAAATACTGCTCAAGGTGGACAACACTGATTATATTTGTTAATACAAGTCAGCTCTTTACATAGGGGTTTTTGGGGTGTTAACCTGTATTTTGAGCACAACTTCAATCTRAGGAGATGATTCCCTAACCTGAACATGCCCTTGGACATGCACAYATAATGGAGCAGTGACTCATGAAATGACTGAATTTGGGCCTAGGAATCACAGAATTTTAGGAAAAAAGGAGAACATATTTGTTTTGTATGAAATGCAGCACTTAAAAGTTAMTTTTATTGAGAAGAAAATCCCCACATTTCTGAAAGTCAGTGGAAAAAATAATTTATTGCAACTTCTTTATCACATTAACATGAAACATTTATACATATATAATTTGTGCTGATAAGATATAATAGATATAGACAACTTTTTACATAAAAGTAATTGCACTGTCCTATTTTATAATGTAAATACTCAGAAAACATCAGATAATAATGGATATTATTTGCACAAAAATGCTCTGTACACTGGAGCTATGGAAGGTCTATGTAGCTGAAATCTTGACTGCTTTCACCAACCATATGAGCTGGTCAAATAAAAGATACTAGGTCTCCTTGCAAGCCCTATATCTCTTAATTATGGGTTATGTCTAGAATATTACCAGATCCTTCCAAGGAATGAAATAAGATCCTTTCTGAAAATTAGGGGGARCAAAACAAAAAGGCAATCCTGATGAGCCTCTCCCAGTGGGTGCCTTTCAATTCAGGGGGCACTATCAGGAAAGAATCTGAGCATTATAGGTAGTCTAAAACTGTCCAGCAATCTACTGATAACAAGGCTACTTAATTTACTTAATATAAATCCATGACACACACATTGTAAGTGAACAGCATTGCAGTAAAAATACATTGGCACATGCTTCAAATGGTAATATCAGACAAAAAACTGCCTCCTTTTAGTATAGAAAATGCATATATAGTGTCTAGAAAGGGAAAATGCAGACAGTGCATCAAGTGTTACTCACAGGATGAATGTAAAGCATGATGATAGCAGAACTAAATCTGAATGACAACATTTATACAATAGTTATCATTACGATGATTTATGTGTTATTGTTAATTTTACATTTTTTTAGGTTCATCATTCTTCCCAACAATTGAAATGTCTGGCTTTCCAAAGTGTCACTGATTCACACAACTCTTACACTGCAGAAACGAAGATGAAGAGCATGGCTGTGAGGCACCAGATAGAAATGGCAAGTGTATTACAAAATGGTATTTGGTATTAGCTAGTGGTGAGAAGGGCTGCATGACTGACGCACACGGATACATATAAAATATAAGCCCAAGATACATGCTCACCGCAGAGATAGAACAGCACAACACACTAAGGCAAGAAAAAAAGATCAAAGTCAAAAAATAAAAGACAAAATCAGCATGAGACCCTAGAAGAAAATGGTGAAGATGATTTCAAGACTGGGACACAAGACAGTGATATTGCACGTGGCAATGGGAGATATGCAGTGAAGTACCAAGTAACACCCACAAGAACCTTGGTGCCTGACCCGCTCCTTGGAGGCAGTGATGCCCCCCATGCAGCGTCCTCTTCCTCTTCCCTCAGCTCAGAAAGCATCTGGCTTTGCTTCCTTGTATGCATGCAAGCAAAATTGGAAAGTGAGGGAATTTCTCCAAAGCAACAACATGGGGGGTCAATGCAGTGACAAAATATATGCAACAATATGTATTTATTATCAGTAAATTATAATAAAATAGATCACTGTTAGCACACACATTCCTTCTGCATGTAGGTTTATATAGAAATGTATAAATTCCCACGTATCCCTTGAATAAGTATCTAAAAATAGAACCAAGATTAAATCTTTGTGTAAAGTGAAGTGATTACTCYAAGGTAATCAAAGGCAAAAACCTGAGTTTTGCCTGTGGACTAAAACTATTAGTGTAGCCTATGCAGTGCCAGAAATAAAACTGGAAACAATTTAGAAAACCTTAGAGAAAAGCTCAGTGCAACTTCTTGTGAAAATGTGCAGGGAGAGAAAGAGAATGAAGTGTACTTTAAAGGATTATCTTCTCTCAGCTTTCGAAATCACCTCTGATAAAACGATCATCTGTATCATTACCAAATAAATGTATCCTAGTCTCCTCTTGAAATGCTACAATAGAAAGTGACTGGGAGATGGGAGAAGTTCCTCCACGCATGAGAATTATAGGTATATCTGAATTCAGGAATTAACAAAAAATATCAGAAATAAATTACATGAAGCAAATTGAGAGTCTGGTTTCAGACTCTGAGTGCAACTGGACTATGACTTTTAAAAGCTGCTGAAAACCTGCCTGGCTGTACTTCCTGCTGTGCATCTTTCTGCCTCCATGTCCCCCTATAGGAAGCCAGATTATTACACAGTACCACCACCATGGATCTCTCATGGCTGCTGCAGGGATTAACAAGCCAACAGCTCTACAAGATCTCTAGAACAAAATTGCTATGTTGAAAATACTAAACTATCTAAAATATATTTTCATATTAAGCTGGTGTGAGGCTGGAGCAAGGAAAATACCTATCGGACTGAGTATGCCTCTGAAGTATTACATTTAAAATTAAAATGTGTTCTTCTATAAGACATAGAACATAACTTATAATGCAGAAAAAGGTCAAAGGTGTCTCCCTGAAATACAGTTTAAACATAACTGTACATCTAAAATAATGGCAGCCACGTGAAATCATAGTTAATCTTGCAGCTGACACAAAAGAACTTAGAAATTACTATCAAAAATGGCACCCAGAATATTATGACAAATAACATACACTGAAATATAGAATTCAGCTGAGTTAAAGTACACTCTCCCTTGGAGTTCAATACTGGGGGTTATCATTAAAAGGTCAGTGGTAATAAACAGTCTACATCTTTTAAAGAGTATGAAGTGGTTTAACTTCYTAAATTTAATTTCAGAAGCATGTGATAATTTCAAAGCATAAATAATTTCTTGTGACTTAAAAGGATTATTAAGCATTACTTGAGTCATGGGGAGTTATATTGAATTATATTATTTTGCTCTAGTGTATTTTTAAAATAAAAAATTAATTATCCTAAGTTTCTTTCTTTTCATATAAATTCAGGATAAAATTCAAGCTACATGAATTACTTTTACTCTTTCCTACCTGTCTGCAATAGGTGAAACTGTCTGCAGCAGCTTAAATCATCTGGTACACAGTAACCAGATTACGTGTCTAAATTTGTAGTGCTCTTTGAGTCTAAATCTCATTGACTTCTGTTGGGATTTAGGTTACTAAGTGCCTAAAGTTCTGAAACTGAGGCATAAGCTCCATTGCCTTGAAAATACTTTACCCTATGTCTTTTTGAGAAAAGCATTAAGGTTCATATGTCATTTAGAAGACATTTTTTACACCTTGTATATTTTTAAACTAGGACCTCTATCATGCAATGATTTCTGAGCAAGCAGATCCTTTTGGGGATAACAAACCACACATATCAGGAGGGAAGTTGGCTCCAAGTGGTTGCTGGAGTGTTGCCTAAATATTGGAAGGTACATTAATTCTCACTGCAAGAAAGCAAATGGTATTTTTTTCAAGTGGTAACAACCAGACCTCTCAGATAAACAGAAACAGACATTATATTGCAAAATCTAGTACAGTGGAGAAATCTGTAAGAAGATAGAGGCATAAATATTTCAACACCTTGCATTCCCTCTAGGACTTTTCAAAATACAAAAAGTATTCTTTCAGGGACTGTACACACTCCAGAAACAAATAATCAAGGGCTGCTGTAAAGACAGTAAATGCATTAATGAAAAAATGGTGTACAAAACGGTTCACTTCTTCTAATGAACATTTAGTTTTGCAAAAGCAAAAAGATCTCAGTGGTTTAGATTAAATTTGTGGTATTTATGCCTTATTAAAAAAAATACAGTGATTAGTCATACCTCTGTCTCTGTACTCTTTCTGGACAGAAACCAAACCTGCATTGGTTCTTTTTTACCCTTCATAGAAACTGGACCCCTGTACTCCAGGTGGAACTGAGGATCTGAATTTTCCGGAGTCATAAGGCACCTGAAATAGAGAAAACATGTAAATTTATTTGTTATGCATGCATGTGCTGTATAAAATATTAAACATGCAACAGATGCACACTATAATGCACCTATTTCATAAGAACTCATGTACTTAAACAAGGTGCTGATGAGCTCCTGTCATTATCACCTCTAACGACACTTCGACATTGCACTGACAAAGGGGTTTCTTTTAAAATGTCAGTGTCAATAAATCACTCACCTGTAAGTGTACTCAGAGACATTGATCTTCCCCTTTTCTCCAGTAGTTTCTGTTCTGCTTGTTAGATTGACAGTATTTCCAAAGAGACAGTAACGTGGCATCCTTTGGCCTATGACACCCGTGACTACCTCACCAGTGTGGATTCCTATTGTTATCTTTAGAAAGAAAAATAAAGTTTGAATACTCAAAAATTAACATAACTAATTTGATGTTTCTGCCTAAATATAGGTATTATGTCGCTTCTATCCAATAGTTTAATTAACATGCACCAGTCCTGCTTCTTCAAAGACTTTGTTTCGCATTTTTCTGTCATGTTTTTTTTAATGTAGTGTCACAGCCCTGAATCTCACAGGAAACAACAGCTCTCATGTGCTGATTCCCCTGACATGCACCATGACATGCTGTTATCGCATATTCAGAAAGAAAATAATTGGTAAGAGTGGCAAGCTCTGCAGCTCTGTGTTTAATGAGCACTCAGAAGGTGCAGAAATGGGTGGTACAGGTGAAGAAAAAGGCATCACAATATGTTGCTTATTTTCATAAGCAACCAACCATTTCACAAGCTCAAGCATCCATAGTTTATATGCATCTAAGATATAGAATAGGGATTTTGAGATGTTCATTCTTACAGTACCTGACAGTGCTAGGTATTAGGAGGAACAATGTTATTCATGTAAATAGAGATATACACCACAAGTTTTACTTATTTTGCCCTGAGTGTATTCCAAGGAGGACAGATTAATGCAGGTTCTCTGATTCTGCATTAATCCCACAGCACCTTTATAAAATACCAGTGAATGTACTTCCACTACTGCACATCTCTGCCACTATTCATTGCCATAAATTCTTATGGAGCTGTTCTTTTTAATGAAGTATTTTCACTTGCTGACTAAAGGATCAGAAGCATGATCAAAATATCAAGGAGGGAATACTACTGCTCTGTTCACTGCAATGAAGGAGACCCAGCTAATAAACAGTATTTGACGTGCAGAGGGGATTTTTTTTTTCAGAAATGATTAGGAAACAAACACGTGTGATGTGGTCCAAGTTCAGTCCTTTAAAAGATTAGGCACAATAATTAGCTCTTAAGGTCTGGAAGACTGAATGCAGCTCTTCATATTATTTCTACAGATCTGCCTAAGATCCATAAGAAGGCTTGTACAGACTAGGACTTTAGCATTACCATATTTCAAAGCACTCATGACATCAAAGAACRAGTTCTTCATTCAAACTCACACATTTACTAACCTGTACAGGTTCACCATCTACTTGAACTTGGCCTGCTATTTCCATCATATCCAATGCCAGGTGGCAGATAGATCGTGCATGATGAACGCAAGGCTCTGGCAGGCCACTCACTGTCATATACTTGTCACCAACGGTTTCCACCTACCAAGACATACATTTTTTCCATTACTTTGTTAACTTGTGCTTCGGAATGCTAGAGAGGATGTACTACTACCTTCAAGACTGCTTGCCCTTTTAAATAGTTTCCCTTCTTTTTGAGCATCCAATTCCTCCATCTCTGTTCATTACTGAAAAGAATTTAAAGTATTCCAAGAACATAACAAATTAAAATGACTCTAAGATTAACTGAACTCTTCTGCGGTCTTTTAGTTTCTGTGTATACTGTGTTTTATTTCTGTCTTGTCGACTCACATCCTTAATTTACTTGGTTCAGGACAGAAAACTGATTTCTAGTAAAAGCTAGGAATGAATTTTACACTCAGAAGCACATATGCATATTCATGTCATATATATGGGGTACAGCTTTAGCCTTGCTATCAGACATATTTGCAACTACCCTTCATTTCCAGTAAAGCAGTGAAATTCACATTGGAATAACTGACTAGTAATTCACAATCAAGGCAGGCAAGTATATGGCTGAAAAACCTAAAGCTCAAGATGAGCAGAACTACAAAAAGCTTCCAACAGGATCTAAAATCTGCTAAATGTGCATATAGATTTATATATCCCTCTAATAGTCATCTTTAGACTTATATCAGGTAATATAGTTCAAACATCTCCTATATTGTAGCCCCCAAAAATTAAGAACAGAGCTTTCAAAGTGTCAGTCATTGTAGGATTTGTGATCAAAAAGAGGATGTAACTCCTGGCTCTGAAAATGAACCAAAGTTACATGCCACTTTAGATTTTACAATTTTAGAATATCCTTTTTCTTAAAAAGAAAATGCTGATCAACATGTTATGTTGGTAAAATAAGCAATTAACGTGAGGTTTTATCATTAAAGACTGAGAACATAGAAAGCTTTTCTTCTCTCTTTTTATTTTTTTAAGCATAAAGTTCAATGGATAGAATAGATTGAAATGCTAGTAAAGTACTGAAAAGTCGCAGATTAAATTACTTGAAAAGCTTCTGTTTACCTTATAAACAAAGGGATTCCTTCGCGAATCGGTGAGAATATCAAATCTCGTGTAAAGATCATTGAGAAGGTTGACAATCTTCATTGCTCCCTCCCCAGAGGCGTGCTTACTGCAGAAGGTGTTGAAGCCAACGATGCCACTGAAGAGAATGGTCACGTTGTCGTAGCGCTTAGCTGGAACCGGGCGCTTGTGCCTCAGCTCATTTGCCACTGATGGTGGTAGGACAGAGTACAGTAATCTAGATATTTAAGGGAAAAAAAAAGGGATAAGCAAAGCAAAAAGCAAGTGGAGAAAGGTCTTTACATAAAAAAAAATATATTATGTTAATAACTCCTATAGGGTTTATGGTATACTGGCATCATTCAAGAGTTAGTGATATAAAACTGATTCTACTGAAGTATTTGATATTTGGGAAGCAAGAAGCAAACTACCTCAGGATGTCTAAACTCCATGACATTCCAAAGTTATTAATATGTCTAACTTGCCAACTAAATAAACATGTATTATTCATTCTTCTGACACAACCCATTAATAGTGCCTCACGTTATTTCTGCTTTAACATTTTTGTCACATCCTCAATTAATGATTTTGCTCACARAACCATAAAAGCTGCTGAAAAAAGAACTTGAAGAGAACACACAATTCTCCACCTCTGACCCACTCCTGAATTGCTAAGCGTTTCCTCTTCTGTTGAGAACATTGCTCTTAGGGTTTAATGCATTTTTTTTCCAATTCCATTAATAGCCATTAACACTTGCAAATAAAATCTGAATTACACACACAGAGCTACTCCCAGATGGATTCTGRCAGCTCTTCATCTGCAGTCTTTAAGCACGTTTTCCATCTTCTTATTCCATCTTCTACATCCAAATAGTCAAGATGAAGAACTCCAAATGCTTCACAAGCTCTGAGCATCATGTGGGTAGTTTCCTGCACAAGCTCTCATGAGTTGCCTTGGTTTTTATTTTATTTTATTTTATTTTAGTTCACTATTGCATCAGTTATAAATACTGAACACTTTTGTCGCATAATATAGCAACTGACACTGTCTTTTCTAGTGTCTCCCAAACAGCTTAGAATTCCTGAAGATAAAACGGCTTTATAGAGTAAGTCAACAGGAATGAATAGAAAAAATATTTTTAGGATTCTTTGCTCTCCAAATCCCTCATCTATTCCACTTAAAATTAAAAAGAAAAAAGAAATTGTAAATGAGTTTAATAGCAAACAAATGTTAATTTTACTACTAAGCRAGCATAAATCACAAGAAATCTTGCTGTTACAAAGATGGGAACTATGTTTTAAACATGAAAATTGACCATCAAAATCTATGCTTATCACAAATGTTTATTTAAGGTGCTTACCAATAGGATTTGTTCTGAGCTCTATTTTTAGATAACAAATGATATTTTTAATTAACAAATGATACAGCATATGTATTATGCCAAGATCTGTTTTTATGGAAAATTATAAAATACATTTTTATAGGGAGCTAGAAAATCAAATTTCACAGCAGTAGTCCGTGGCAAAACTTGTACTACTTTTGCAGGTTATAAGAGAGTAAACTCTGATTATTCTTTCTGCCATTTTCACATTTTTTACATTTTTTTTCCATAAAATTACACGCATTTTTTTCATCAGTTCACTTCTTACTGTCCAGCTCCAATCACTCTCTCTTGGGGAGCTGAAGGACCTCGAAATTATAACTGAATTTCTGCAGCATCATCACTTGTGTGTTAGTCCTGGCGACTGGCCTTGGAAACAAAGTTTTTCTGTTTCTGTTAATTTGTGATCATGCTGGTCCAGAAAGAGAAAGTCTGTAGGTGGTTTACAAAACACTGTCAAATAGTAACATTCACACAATCATTAAATGAATCCAGATAAAGAAATGGCACATAAGCAAAAAGTTTGAAAAAACACTGCTTTAGGTCATTTGTGAAACAGAAAAATGATTGTCCCTTCAGAGTTCCCTTCCTTATTGAGGAAGGAATCATCAAAACACCTGTGCGTGTAACAGACTGCAGATGCTCTCTGACAATCTAGCTTCAAAATAACACTACAGGACAGAAAAAAAAAATCCTTTCTTGACTCTAAAATTATTGGCCCTGAATATCTCGTACYGTTTTTCCAGAATTTTTCATTTTGGGGGGGAAAACTTAGCTATAAATAATACAAAACATTGCTTCTTACGTGTCTGTCTTTTTCTTCTCATCTTCCAGGGCCCGTAATGTGTGCTGCAGCCTGTCAGTGAGGATCTCAAGTTCTTGAGTCAGTTTATATTCCTCTCTGAACTGTTCTCCCAAAAGCACCAGATCCCGGGTAGCATCATGCAATGGAATATCACTCAGGTATAAACCTCTTCTGGTTAAATCATCCAAGTTCATCACACTGTAACATGGAGCAATCTATTACAATACATATGGAGCCTGGGTACAATTGAACTTACCCAACATTTAAAATTCAGGAACATTTAAAATTCAGATCAATAGCAGAGGCTGGGCCTAACTGTGAAAAGATTATGCTTTCTAGTCATCAGAAACGTTGTACAACAAATCAAAATGTGGAATATTTTGTGTTCACGTGTGCCAATATATGGCTCTTGATTTTTGTGTTTGGATATAGAATTCTCAGTATGAATTTTTTGAACTCACGAAACACACAGTCCTCAATATCCAAATGAAGGCAAGATGATAAGACACTCTCTCCCATTTCTTTCTTCTTCCACTCTGTATCATTTTTGACTTAGAAGATTAATATATTGTAACTGTGCAATCCAGTGTGTTGGTTCAACAAGCTGTTAGTTGAAAAAGTCCTCAATTCAATGCCTATTTCAGTCCCTTCTTTACAAGTATCTCTTCACTATTACATTGAAACTACTGTAAAATAATACAACAGGGAACTGAATTAAGAGTGATAACCTTAGCAATATCAGATTAATATCAGACTAAGAAATAAGAGGCAAATTTGTTAAAAATCACTGATTCTTGAAGAACTCTCATTCTTAAAGATTGAGCCAGAGCACTTTAAAGTTTATATGGAATTATTTAATAATTAGTCAAGTTCTAATATTTAAATATTTCTCCTGCTTTTAGTATAAATCCATCAAAGTTGGATCAGTGTTTGAGATGAATTATTCTGCATTCCTATCCTTATAAGTTCCTTCCTATCCTTACCTGCACTGATGGGCAATCACGTTAGTGGCTGCAAAATCAAAGGCAACAGTAGAGAACTCTTATAGCTTGAAGTACCTTGGTGAACAAAGGAAAAGAATGGAGTCTGCTTCTGGCAAGTAGATCATTTGACCCTTCAGGCGTAAGCAGCTGATTTCTGTGCCAGTCAGTTCATCTTCACACTCTAGCTTTTCTACATCCAAGAGCCCTTCCTGGTAATGAAAAAGTCACAGTCACCGTATAAGGCTAATGGTATGCATATAACTCATCAAGTTACATATGCAAATGCCTTCCCCATAAAGGCAATCAGAAAGTTAGAAGAGAGTTACAAAGCACAGACTACATTTAATTTATCATTTCACCACTTGGTGGTGAATTTATCATTTCACCACTTATTTTATTGTGACTAACTACCTCAGGCAGTATCATATCTTTCTTTACCTTCATTTTCACTATTTCTTGTTTTCTTCTGTGTGATTTCCTCCCACTTGTTTGACAACAGGATTGCCTGTTCTGTCATGTTCTAGCTGTGCTGGGGAATATCTCTAAAGAAATCTTGTTGGTCTCTCAGGTACAGTTTTCTATAAATAGGTGCATTTACATAGTAGGTACTGTTCTACACACTGCACTGGTTTATACTGCCTGCCTCCTCTCTTGCCTTGTCTAGAAAAAAAAAGGCCACAAAAATGCACRTGAATTTACAGGCCCAGGGGATGATATTTTCCATTTGTCTCCTATATCGTTGTGAACAGTACAATTACCCTTCTGTACTTATATGCCTACACATAAGAGGGTGGCCCTTTACAGAGACAACATGAGAAGCATAGGCATTACTCCATTCCTATAAAGTGCATCATTCCACTGCTACACATAAATTCACATCCCTTACATTTTTGGGCTCAAGACTCAAAAGGGACTCAACTTACTACTGTGCAAAGTATTTTCTCTGAAGAGTTCTGAGTTTTCAGCACTTACTCTTATCTCTCCAAAGCACAGTCATAGAAAAGCTAAGTCTGTCTAGTTACCTTGGTCCTCAGTACAAAGACAGTGTTGATATGTGAGAGGATCCCATGGAAGCTAATATCAATATGAGGCCGAACCAAGGAGAAAACTGACAACAGACTGCAATTCCCTGGCTGCAGCTAAAAGGTAAGCAACAATAAAACATAAAAAATAGTCAGTTCACATATAATGAACAGAATACTTATACTCAGTTTGCTTAGATGACAATAGCAAATAAAAGAGAATATATACTTTATAGATTTGTCCACTAAAGCACAAGGATTTTACACTAAGGCTTTCGCATCAGAAGTGCACTGACTTCAAAGTGCAATTCTAATCTTCACTATGACATTATAAAATTGCATTGGTCTGTTTCACTGTTGCATTGGTTAGCTGTCAAGTAACTCCAACTTTACAGGAAAAAGAATAAAAATGTTTGGTAGTGCTTTCTTCCCAAACTTGTCTTTCAATAACAAGCCATGTTCCTTTATGCATCATCTCTGATAATAAGGATTCTAATGAGGCCATTATTGAAACTAAGAATTATAGTTGTTCAGTAATGTCACTGGAAAAGTCTTGAGGAGCTACTTAGAAAGCTCTTCTTTCAAATCCCTCTTCAAAACCCAGAAAGAAAATGTGTAGCAAATAAAAATATAAATAAAAATTACATTTTAAAAAAAGAGGAGAGTGCACTAACTGTCCTCAGTCAGAAACATAGCACAGAAATGTATCACTCATGACACTTGTGATGCACAGGCCAAAAGAGTACATATCCTCTTCTGTTAGGTTGCAACTGACAGTTATACAATGCTAAAAAGCCACCAAATATTTGTTATAGTCAAGTAAAATATATGTAGACTAATTATCTGCTGCTAAATTATATAAGTAGCATGTGCAAGTCCATTTCCTGACTCCYAAACCAAGYTGCAAAATGTGTCTTGTCCACAGTAGAGAGTCACCTGCCACTTTTATAGCAAATATATTTGGACTGGGCATATTCCAAAAAGAATCAAGCATCAAGGTAACACCTCAGTTGTGTGGGTGATCAGGTATTGTCTGCTCAAGTTTATTTCTTGGTCACTTTATGGTCACACTAGGGATATATTCATATCATATTCATAGGGAAAAGGATTGACTAGAAAAGGGCTAGTTTTCATAGTCCTTTTTCAAAAAAGAGCAGCACTATATAGCAAATATACAGTCACATGAGAATGTTATTTACATAGAGAATTCTAGAACCATTCAATTAATCTTTAAAATAAATCTGCTTACCACGTAGCATAAGAACCCTTTAGGACTACTAATGTATGAGAATCATCTAACCTGTGGAAGGACTCTGTATATAGCGTTACCACACTGGGTGACCACCAGATCTCTGTCAAATATTATGTGGAAAGGAAACGCCTTGCAGAAAGTATAGGGACTGATGCGAGATTCTTGGGTGCCATTTTCTTCAAATCTGTCGAGGTCTTCGTAGTAGTCCTCCTCTTTAGACTCTTTCTCTTCAATTAAAAATTGAATGTGGTCACACTCCTCATTTCTCTGTTGAATAACCTAGAAAAATGAGGGAAAAAGATCAAAAGACTGCAATCCCTGCTACTCAGTAATAATTGGAATGTTATGAAAATGGAAGTACATTACAGCTTTAATCAAAAATGACATTTGCATCTCAAAAATCTCTAACAAGTATTTCTGATTTTTAATCATCTTTATAATTCCAGTGGAATAATTATGCCTTTGATTAGTCACAGTTGCTCYTTGCAAGAAAAGCATATTGAAGATCCATCAAATATGACCTAGAAAGCATGAGATGTATATCCTAGAACCAGGTGTTCAGGCTCCAGCTATGCTTGTCTTTCCTAGCACGCACACTAGACATGGGGACTCCCTGCCCTCCTTCCCACCTTTGAACAAACCTGCAGCAAGTCTTCAATTATGCAAAATGTGTGAATCYTGATTCTGATGAAGCTGTAGGCAAGGTCAGTAGCACAACAGCAGGTCGCACTGACAATGGGCTGGGCATGCCACAGCCAGCCAGARAAGCAGACGGAGCAGAAGTTTCCATTTGCATCCTTAACAAGATCAGGTCCAGTAGTTTAAAATTAAAATTAAAAGCAATTATAATATTCTCCCAGCTGCATTCCATACTAAATGAAATCACAGCAAAATCAGAGTCATCTGCATCAGCTGCATCTCAAATAAATGTTTTGAATATCAAAAATACTCAAAATAAAGAAAAATAAGAATAGGGATCTTTTTGTTTCGCAGAGAGAGTCATGTATTGCAGTATAAGTAAAGCAAATATCTAAGGGAACAACATAATTTACCTTGAGAGGCCAAATTCACCTCTTCTCAAGCCTAATTAGATTTAATGACTGGAACAGAACAATTCTATTTACACAGTATTGTTTAAGGGCAATTTTCTGGAACATGTTGCGCCTGATTCTATTTTCACAGAGACTGATACTAAAGTCTCTGAAGCAAAAAATACAAAACAACAACAACAACAAAAAAAAAAACACAAGAAAAACAGACAAAACCCCAGAAAACAAACGACCCTCCCAACTTTTAAGCATCTAAGGCATTCTGACTCTGCACTTACACATAATGTAAGCACACATGTGTTAATAGCTGCAATATGAAAACAGAGGAATGTAGATGCATGCAAGCACTGTAATGCATTTGCTAAAACCTTTAGCTTATTAAACATTTCCCCTCTGTGACTCAGTCATACTAACTGATGTGTTGGGGAAAGCTAATACCTCTCTTTCTTTCTTTCATTCCATTTAAATGTAGCTGTGTAGAAGAACAAAACAATACTTTATTGCTAAAAGATGCTTAACATAGGGATATAGCCTTCCTGGATCTCCTCTTCAACTGTTCCTTTAAGGCTAGGAGAGAGACTTTCTGGAAAGCCATTTGGAGCAGAAGCTCAATTCAGGAGCTCTGCACCATGTGCTCGATTCTCTAGTGGATTAGCTAAGTAACATGGAGAAAGACTGACATACTAAAGCTGCCAGATAATGCAGGCACCTAAAGCTGGACATGCAAACCAGCTCAAATGTTAATGATGGAGAGTATTTTCCCTAAAAATGCARTGGTGATTACTTGGCAGTGGGTGGCAAAAGGGATGGGGAAATTTTGAGTAGTAAGAGGAACGTGTGGCAATCATTTGATGGAAACAAATTATGTGGGTTTGTCTAGGAACATGGAGCATAATAAATGTGAATGCAAGGCTTAAAAGGCCTCTTCCTCTGTCTTCCTTTAGATCATTATTCTTGGACCTATGAGAAACTGTGGCCACAATGAGGGCTGAGAGAACCTAGTTAGAATCTGAGCTTCTCATTCATATGCATACACCCAGGCTTTTTATTTTTATTTTTATTATTATTATTATTACTACTACTACTACCACTACTACTATTGTGGCCAAGGATAGCTTAGATCATACACAGTAACTTTTTCCAAATTCTACACAGCTATCACTAGAACTCAGCTATGCTTCCAGATGATTTCCAGAGTCTTAGATCTCATTTGAAAGAGTTACTTTTGCCATAGCTGGAAAAAAAATACATACTCTGGGTGAAAATTTCTTTATTTGGCAAAGCAGTCCTAAAAATCATTTTTTAAAATCTAGTACTTTTTAAGGAAATGTCTAGATTAACAGCACATCATTTCCCAGCAGTATCATTAGTATCATCTAAAGACTATACTAGTACTCGGCTACCGGACTGTACCTGGACTTAGATGTTTTCCTGGTACTGCACTGCACCTTTCCCCACATCCCATTTTTATTAGAAAGTAATGATGCTCCAACAAACAAAACTCAAATGCTCAAAAAGAAAAAAACAGATCTGCTACATGCTTCAAGGAATGTCTAGMCAATGCTGAGATCTGACCTTGCAGAGACACCGCAAGCTTTCACAGTGTGGAAGTCAGTCTGTTACCCGACATCCTGCTTTCCTAGATGAAAAATGTGCCAGCAGCAGCACAAAGCTGCAAGACTCCCATGTCAAATGAACTTCAAGTTTATTTACAATGCTATTTTTGACTACACTTCAGGGCATCTAGAAGCACTTGTTATTTTGGCGTATCACATTAGTGCAGCAAATGTACAACATGCCAAACACACGGAAATGTGTCAGATTTACAGGAGAGCCACCGAGCCAGCTGCATGCTCCCGGTAAACCCAATATGCTGGTGATAATAGCAGATTTACTAAAYTTGGTTCGGATCAACCATGCCGAGACCCTTATTAATAGCAGCTATAATCATATCTTTCTCCAGGCTAAAAGAGCTACTGATTCATCCTTAAGTAACTCGCTACTGGATATGGAATTTCATGAYGTCTTTCATGTCAACATTTTTCATGCACCAGCTACTCTACCTACCTCATGATTCTACCCACCAGAAACCGCTTACAGCCTCCTCTTTTCTGAGGCATCTGAGATGGAGACAAAACTCCATCCTGAAAAATTTGAAGTATCTTTCCACCCTTAAATATAAAAAGCCATCCTAAAAGTGCAGTGAGGTATTTCTCTCCCATAGAATAACATGAATTTTCTGCAAATACCATTCAATTTTAGGACCTAAAGTCTAGTCATTTTTCCTCATGTTCCTTGAGCTTTTAAATTGTGAGCCAATATAAAAACAACTCTTCTGGCCATAACAGATTAAATTCTACTTTCACCCTTGTAGATACACCCTGTTCAAYCTAATTAGCCAGATACTGAATTGGCATAAACACTTTTGAGATTTTAGCCAAACTAGTTTGGAGTAAAAATAACTTGCACAGATCTTGACAAATGAAAGTGCAGTGACAGCAGTGATCAAGACAGGAATCACAYCTAATTCTTCTGCCTCCCTCTGTGGTCCTAGCTCATAACTGTCATCAGCTCACCACGCTGGAGAGCTCCATAACAGGTATAATTACCATAGCAGTTGCAGTTAAAAAAAGAAGACAAATCACTCTTCTGCTTTCAAAAGGAATGTACAATATCTAACTGGTTACTCGCCTGTGTTTCCCATAAGATGCATCTTCAGAACATTCCCTTGGTTAGCCAAGCGAAAAGCCACGACAATATTCCAGCATAGGACAATGCAGGCAGCGTCCAGTTCAAAGAACATTTTAAAATGACTTATTAGTTTATTTGATGAACCTCACTGAGGAATTAAATTAAGCAGTATCATTATTTGCCTACATGCAACAAGCTAAGTGAACATATGCCATCTATTAACTTTCCCTGATGTACCTGCAACATGAGACAATGCTACACACTGGTAGACTAACATCTAAACTGGTAGACTAACATCTAAATGCCCAGAAAGGGATAGAATGTCTTTGGACAGGGCCTATTCCTTCACTTTGTGAAGACTTATTCAGAATCAGCCATTTAAAGCACAACACAGGACAAATTTTTGACCTCTAATCAAAGCTGACTGTTTAATGTCACTTGACAAGTTCACAGCTGTCCCAGGGTGGTCCTGAGCCAAAGCAGTTCACTGTAGAAATGATATTGTCTTTAGCTTTGCACACCAAAGGTTAAAGCTGCAGAGATGTTTCCAGATGGCAGCTGGTTTCAAGGCAAAGACCCTCTCACTGTCTCAGTCTCTCAATGTCTGGCTCATACCACTTGCCCTCCATGATAACTGGCTGCCTAGGGAGTTTTTAAGTCATCTCCTCAGCTGGGCACATTCTAGCTTTGTTTTCTCATTGCCATTAGTAATTAGAAAAAGCAGAAGTTATCATCCTGTCAAAGATTTCCTCTTGCTCTTTCCGAGATATTGTAAAAACTCTTTTTGATATTGTAAACAATCTTCCCTGCTTGTCTAAAAGGCAGATTTTTATGGCTTACTGTCAGATAATAACAGGATTGCAAAAGTGTGTTTTCCCAACAGAGTTTTTTGTTTTGATTTGTTTTTTTTTTATTATTTTTATTTTTTACAACACTCTTCATTGTCCTTTATCATTTGTAGCCCTGAGAGAATCTCTGTTGCTGACTTTACCTTCCCAGCTCGCCCACATTTATAAATGAACTGCTGTGATAAGTGAAGCAAGGGAAGGCACAGCCAGAAGGCTACAAACAGAGATCTCATGCCAAAGCTGGTAACCAGCTCTGGGAACATTTTYAGTTGTCATCCTGAGCCTGGTAGCCTGGCAGAATTATCACTGTGTTTCCAAAGTCAGGAAGGATTGTTAGGACAGTCTGAARAATGGTATGTTCCTACCTCTATTCAGCTAAAATGGATTAAAGTAGCAAATAGGAAGAAGAGGCAAATTGCATTTGGATTGTTTACCTGATTCATTTTGACTTAGGCTTTCCTGAACTATTTAACTGAAACCCAGAACCAGGTTCATACCAAATTGCTAACACAGTTCAGAGACAAATTCAGATTCTTTTCATGCCTTCAGTATATACAAACCCTAGGTCTAAAAAGAAAAAGCATGTTTCCCAAWGGTCACTGTTCTGGAACATGAAAGTCTTGCCCTATTTTACAAGGACTTGCCCTATTTTACAAAGACTATTTTACAAGAATATATACATAATGGTTTCTGGGTGAAAATTTTTCTTTCTTTTTTTTTTTTCCTTCTGTTTCTCCATCCAAAGAAACAATATGAACCAAAACAAGAACAATATTATTTTTGTTGGTATTTCTCTTTGTCATAGGATGATGAGATTCCTTAGATTTTCTTTTCCCTTGAGAGGGCAAACATTGGTAATGTCTGTAAATTCTATTGTTGTAGGATCTCTCAAAAACAAAACAACCAGGCCCGTGGTCCAAATAAACCATGAAAGCAAAATCTAAGCACTTAACGAAATAAAAGCTTTACCATTGTAAAAGATCAGYTCAGCTCAGGTACCACCTTCACAAAGACTGGTGATGTGTAAGCCACCTTCAAGCAAAATTTGATTAAAAAGCTCAGAAAAATGAGAAGACTTAGAAGCAATCTGTTCTCAAGTAAACTAAAGTAAGCATTTGCGCTAAATAGCTGGAGAAGAAGAGTGGGCAATAAAGTAATTAAACATCACTTTGCAGATACTCACTTGACACTAGTATAAAGAAACTACTGAGAGATTTTAATAAAATAGTCCCATGTAAGGTAAGTCAAATCAAAGGTAAATTGCTTGAATAAATGGACCTATGAGAACAACTAGAAATCTCAGCATTCTTCTTGCAAGTAGGAAGGCACCTCCCATAATAGCACCAGAAACAAGGCTAAGCACTGAGGCTCTTATCAGTTCCTAACTCAATCCTTCCTTAAGCAAAACGCTAACTACAGTCCATAACAAGCCTTCATAGAGGAAAAGGCAATAGCTGCAGAAACTTAGGGGATGAAAAGCAAACCTATTTTTATTATGCTTTGCCATTTCAAACAGTGCATTACTAGCAGTGTGAAACATGCAAACCCTCATTTGCTAAATTACGGACCAAGGGACTGAGATGAAAGCAAGCTGYCTGCCTTTTTTTTCCTGTTTTCATTTGTCTTAACACTATAAAACTATCCAGGTACAATAGCAGACAACCATTTTGCTGAGGTTTTAATATGTTCACTCTGCAGACATTAATGATTAATAGTTGACCTCCAGTGCAATGAAGGGAGACTTTCTTTGTCTGTGTGGATTAGCTGCAAAGTTTGGCACTCTCACCGTACAGAAACAGAGTAGCTTTTTATTCCTGGCATACTTACCACTGAAGTTATTTAGGAACTACGGTGCAAAGTACTTTTTAATGTCATTGTACATGTTAAAGGCTAGGCTTTATTATCCAGCAGAGAKGAGACAAAGTTCAGAGTTGAAGGCACATGACTTTCTGATGGTGGTAAGGGAACAATATTTCATTAACAAACACATTTGCAGGGTAACTGGCTCAATAAAATAGAGACAACATGCACTTTCTGCAGTTTAGAAGTAGTATCAATTTTTATGGGTATATATGCTTTTGGCTCAGACTGAAAGAACAGCTTTTAAATTAAACTCTGTGCCCTCTTACAATAGCTCAGACTGATACTGTTAAATTTCTGCTTAATAACAGTATAATTGCAAGATCTCTAGRAAACCACAATAAAGTTGAATTAAAAGTAAATTTATAATCAATATTTAAACCTCTTTGGAGCATTTATTGCTTGTGAAAAGTACTAGATGGATATTAGTACTGTCCAATACAATCTTCTCAACAAAATAACAGGCTATGGAGACTATTTGACAAAAGTATGCTTTGATAACTGCTTTGAACAGCCCCCGTTTCTTGCCTTCCCCACGTATCACTTCTACCTTTGCAGTAGAAATGTAGGATGACTAGAGAATAATTAAGAGAAAAAAAGCTTACTCTAGCTGCTTAGACTCTTGTCTACTTGATGAAAAGTATTTGGCATTACTTGCAAAATTTCTAACACTATGCTTTTATATTACTCTATGTATTTATATTAATTTTTCTCCAGACCCAAGACTAAGTATACCTTCGATCATGCTCTAATTTTATATATGCGGAGCCTGTGGTAGTGATCAATTAATTCTTTCTTGCTCTACATAGACACAAATCAAAGGCTTCATTTGAGATTATCAACTGACTTAGCACACATGGCTCCATGTAAACTGCAACTCAGAACACACAGTAGACAGTAAGAAATATACACCAAATTTGAAAGGAAGTAGACAAAAAAGTGCTCTAATAGGTCAGTACTTAATTTCTGTACCTGTCTTCTCCTTTTCTGAAGGAAGGGGCAGTGASCTAAACTGTTCCTGATTGGGCCTATTTGTAAATTAGTGCTGGACTTCTCAGCACAGGGCTGACCTGCCTCTGAAACAAACCAAATGATGGTGGCTCTTCCTGCACCAATACTTCTTCGTTTTTACATCATCTTATTTATATTTTTCTTTTTTTTTACAACAAGCACTGATTATGATTCAGATGAAGGTTAGAGATTAAAGAACAGGATTGTTAAGCAACGTGAGATGCCATGGTCTGCAGTTGATATAGGAATTTGTTCAAAATCTTGACAGCTAGGGTCCCGTAGAAAGAACAAAGGATGCAGCAATAATGGTAATGATGGTATGTGTACRTGCCGTCGTACCTTCATATCTATTTCTGTACCGTGGATCTGTTGAGCTACCGTTTTGATGATTCCAATGACAATATCCTGAAGACCTTCTCTTTCTGAATAGTAGTGCAGAATAAGTCCTTTCCCCTTCTCTGCATCAGTGCACCTAAAGGAAGGGGCTCGCATACCTGGGTAAATGGTAGCAAGGTGGTCATGCAGAGCATCCAAGTTCTGGAATAAGAAGGTAAAAACGTGATTATAGGGCATTCGTATAGTAGTTTTAAAGAAAATAAMTGCATGTCATGTCTAATCTGGTTAACCTCCTTTTCACACTGGATACATTGTGCATTAGMTGAATTATTTCTAGAACTGTCTTAATAGCAGCCCTCTCAGGTAGCTTRCAATGTTCTTCCTGCCTGCTGTACAAACGTCTGAACAACAAATGGCATCCAAAGTAGCACCAATATAAATTACTCTAGGCCATGAAGACTCAGACCTGACTATGCTGTATTTCAAAACACTCAGATGATTAAAGATCGCAGACCTCATGTGTGTTTCTCAATCCTGTTCATCATTCATTTTCCTCCCTTCCTAATTCTAGTCCTTAAATCTCCTTTTCCTAAGTGAATTTAAGTGTGCAATACAAATAATCATGTCTGTATAGCCAAAATTTTCCCCCCTTATTCTGAATGAAACAGCAGGCTAGTTCTGACACCACAAACAGCCAGTGCAAGTTTTTAAGGTCTAACAAAGTTACAAACTCTAAAGTAAAGATTTAAATAATTAAAAGGCCAGGCTGAAATGCATACTTCTTTGAGATAAGATTAAAAAAAAAAATAGAACACATAGAATATATAAACACATCTGAGCTATTGCAAAAGAATGTTTCATAAAAGGTTCAAGAAATGGAAAAAAGACTTTCATTTTTCCAACTCATGCAATAGACATTTACTTAACTTTAAATTTTGGCAAAACAAATTACTACCTGGACATGAAAACTAAATGAGAAATTGACAGGCAGAATTTATGAAGAGATTAAAGAGATGGTGGGATCAAAATGACATCCTAACTCTACCTTCTATTATGAAGTAATTACCCTGGATCCATGTTTCTGTCTACTGAATAATGTTTTAAGACAGAAAGCTCAATTGGGTTTGCTGAGCAACATTGCAGCCCAAGTAACCAGTTACCTATGTTGTTAAATAAATGCAATTCCTTTATCTCTTAGGCTCAAAACATTACCACATATTTTAAACATTGTCCCTCACCTCCAAAGTCATTGTTAGCATCAAGTTTTGTGTATAGTTTTATGCCAGCCCACAGAGTAAGGAAATGAAAACATTTTCAATGTGCTGTCTGGGTCATTCTCCACCTTTCACAAGCATCTGATGATCATCAAAGTTGGAAAGTGTGCTGAACTTATTTCCTGTGAGCTGTGAGGTGTTCCAGCAGCTGCCTTTTCTCTTGGGATGCTTCCAGAGGAAATGAGGCTCTTATAAATGAATTCCGTAGGATGCACTCAGCCTGGAACATCCTCCTCCATTTTTTTTTAGTTTGTTTCAAATTCATGTTTTTGTTGCTATATCAACACCTCTAAAGTAAAACTTGAAGAAGGAAGAGTCTGGGACTCATTTCATCCCAGCTGTTAGTGGGCATTGAAGAGAGAAAAGATAAAAGTGCAATGCCTGCACACAAATTCTGAAAATCTTGGTAGGATTCAAGACAATGAGATTGAAAGAGACTGCTCTGAAAGAGTGTGGATGAGGAAAAAAAAAACCAAACAAAAAGCACACACACACACACAACACAAGAGAGCTAACTAGCTCCCAGATAGTAGCCCAAAATCTCCTTCATCAGGTGCAGAACTACCATTTCAGTGTGTGCTCTTAAGAAACATCTGGTATATGTTGACTTTTTGGAAAAAAGCTCGTAGGGGATACACAGAAAAGGTCGGCAATCTTCCAGCCAGAAGTCAACAACACCTGAAGAGTTTCAGAAGGAATTTGCTATGGGAGAAGGCCAATGTCAAGCACATTTTTTTTGTAAAATGGGTGTCTAAGTATGAAAATTTAWCTCCAGTACAAGTGTTGCACAGGAGCTCCACTGTGCAAGACCACTTTGCCACCCTTTTAACCCAGTATTGGGGGATCTTACGCCTATACAATGAGAAAAGTAATTCTTGTAACATGCCCTTCAGTTCTGACTCTGCACACCTGGACCTGAGGACGGAGCCAGTATGTCCTGGAATCATTTCCCAGCCCCRGGAGTGTTCTTTTCTTCCCCTGCATACAGATCACAGGGTGAGGAGGCAGCTTAACCGTATGCAGGTCCTTGCTCCAACACAGAGCCCAGAAGCAGTGGAGACGTGTATACGGATCAAGGAGTGACAAGCACTCCCCAGTCTTGCCCAAGTCTTTAGAAACTGTCATTGTCTTCTCTGACAGCCATGCTTATTCCTTGTTTTATTTGCTCCTTTCTAAATTGATATTGCAATTTTTGGAAGAAAAATCACCTTTTGTGGGCCAAAAGAGCTATCGGGTAAAGTTCTCTCATCAAATTCCTGGCTCTGAGACCACCCAGACATCTGTCAGAGCCTGTGCTGGGATCAGAGACATTTTTTCTAGGGCTGCTGAGTGCAGTGACCAGTTCCCTGGTGAGACGTGAAGGGATCTTGGAGCAGGAATGAGCAAGGACCACTGACCCTAAAACAGGCAGGTCTGGRCCTGTCTGAAAGTAATCAAGTTGTGACTGGCACCTGACATATCCAGATCTGCCAGTTAGGCCTGCGCTGTATGGCATTGCTGGAAACATTTCYAAAAGTGGAATTAACTTGCTTATATTTATTGCACTGCAATTACAATCAATTACATAGCCAAGTAAATGACTCCCTAAATGGGAATGTATTAACCACTACTCCAGTGTTTGATTGATTTTCTTTCAAGGGAAAGCTACTGAACATAACATAAAAGTACACTTGGGATTTCTTAGAAGGCATTTCCTTTCACACCACATTTTCTGGCATAGCGTCTTTCATTATGATTTGTGTTTTTTCCAGGCSTGTATTTTTCAGAAAGAGCATAAATATTGGTTTTGGTTGTGCTCTCTTTTCCTCCTCCTTGAAGCTTGAAGTACCTGTATTTCATCTACAGATAACCTAAATTGTCTCCGAGATACCAAGGGAAGTAGAATATAAATGTCAAATTTATTTTCACAGGCTTTACAGAAAATGAATTCCTCAATTATTTCATAAATCCTGGGCTCAGTACAGATTTCTAGATGCACCTTATACCTTTTGGAACTATCTTTATTATGTATTTTAAGATTCTTAGGAAAGTTCAGCACAATAAAMTCCATCTGTAAAAAGGTTTATTTTTAATAGGTATATAAATCAGTTTCCTGACCTAGTCTGACTGCTGGAAGCTGCAAGAAAAATAAATCACAGATAATGTTGATTTTCCATCATAATAACAAGCTAAAAAGTATACTTGTTGGCACAGCTACTAATACATTATTCCAGTCAGAATTTACAGGCGTATGTACTAACAAATGTCCTTTGCTAACACTGAAATTCAAACAAAGCAACTTAAAATATTATCATTGTAAGAATATAAACTTCAGCAAAAAAAATCTTACCTGCAAAAACTCTCTGACGTTTGAGCCCAACACACGTAGAATTGTATCATAACCAGATTCTTGACAAAACACAAAAAACATCTTCCCAAACATCTGAAGGATTTCCCCAGCATTTAGATCTAATTAAAATAGAAAAATAGATKCAATACAAGTACTGCATTTCATGTATTTTGCTCACTTTATTCTCCTTTGCATAAACAGGGAAGACAGTGCCTAAACTCTATCTAATAAGTCAAGAATATGAGGAAAAGAAAATTTGGGGTCAATGCATCAAATAATGAGTGCTAAATACAAGAATTTCACAGGCATTTACCAATTCTGATTATGCTGCATTTTGAAAATGTGTAGCATTTAAAATGTTAGTATAGATAAGAAAGCACTTCTCATGAATAAAAGAACTGTGCAGTTAATAATGCAGACTTCAAAGGAATTATTTCTGGCTTGCAATAGCATGATAAACCACATCAGTTGCTCCAATTCAAAATGACTTCTACAGCCAGTTTGGCCTTATGGGTTCTTGTCTGGCTACTAATTCATATTGCATTTGGGGACCGTAAATAAAATAATGCTGGCAGGCATAATTCTACTTTTTAAATTCCAGTCCAAGCTACACAACTGAAAAATGAATGCTACCCCAGTCAGTGACAGATATGAAATGAGACATACCCATGCCACAAACAACTTCATAATGAGGCAAGCTGATGTTTGCAGTTTGGCAGAGAGACCAAGGATTAAGCACCTTGGGCTGCTCTTACAGTCCAAGATGGAAGATGGCTGTATCAGGAGCTGTAGCATAGTTYTAGTATTATATTGTTGCTTGTACTGCTTGTAACACTGTCCATGCCTTCTGGACAAAATATATTACTGCAATTTAAGCTGTACCTGGTCATCTGGAATACTTTACAAGCAATGAAAATAATCTCAAGAAATAAAAGGAATAAAACCTTTTCCTCTAAATTGAAAAAAATATATATTTCTTCTGAGGCTTATGTTTTATGTGTTTTGCTGTGCTACATGGATATGTGATTATTATCTTTTATGTGATGAGAAGTAAAACTAGTGCACTTAAAACCATGAAGAAATTGCACCAAGAGCTGGCCACCAAGAGCAGARTTCCTGGATGAATTTGCATACTTACTAAGGACCTTGCTAGCAGCTGCAACCAAATCATAGGTTTTGGAATCATCATAAATTATTCTGACAAGAAATTGTCCTTCTTCATCCAGCTGAGCTTCCTTTCTAAAAAGAAAAAAATATATACATTTTTGATGATAGGAGAAACAGCAAATCTATAAATCCCAGCCCCCATTTCAGAATTCTGCATACTCTTGCTGGATCAAAAAATAAAAAGTGCAAGGACTTTGTAAAGCTTTACCAGCTATTTAAAGCACAATAAGAATACATTTATTTTTCTCTAAAGAAAATAATTCTCAATCCCAGGTTTAAAACAAGACCACTCATATATACAAGGCTTGATTGCCTTTCTCCCTGTTCTGCCCCGTGCATTTAATGCCTCTGCCCAAGGTCAGTGAGTGCCTGTGTTTGCTGAGGACCTCACAGGTTTCCCCTATGGCGAAGGGTGGCATCTCCTCTGCTACATGCAGCAGCAGCAGCAACTTGAGTTTGCTTTTTTCATGCCTTGTGCATAGGCTCTATTTCTTTTCTCAGTATAGCTATTTTTATAGTAGCTGTTCAACTTCTGTGATCTTGTCCATGATGACCGTCAACAGAGACAATGCCCTTTGCAGGACCAGTGGGAAAAAAAAAAAAAAAAAAGGTAATATTTACACATACTCATTCTTCAATTCACACACCTACAATGTATTTTGGCTCAACAAAACTAGTATTAGTATCTCATTAGAAGAAAAATATTCTTTCATCTATTCAGATCACATCTGAGAGATGGAAGACAAAAAGGTAGTAAAGTCTACAGGAATGACTGAATTGCACCATCTTATGTTACCAAAAAAAAAACAAAAAACAAAAAAAACAAAACAAAAAAAAAAGCAAAATCCAGAATAACACAGAGTTTTTCTTAAAAAAAAAATCATCAGAATGATTTTTCTGAAATTATAAGAAATGGAGGAAATGAGGTAGTTTTTTACAAAAAAAACTCAATTAATATCATATGAATTAAGACACATATCAGCTCAGGACTGGAATCACCATCTTCCTAGTGTACAAATGAAAGAAAACCACAAGAATTGACTTAGTAGTACCACAGTAATGAAGAACTTTTACCAGAGGACAGAAGTACTACTTGAGAGAGTTGAAGCATACTTCGGTTAAGAACCGATATTTCTAAGTGCTCTAAATTCCTGCTGATCATCAAAAGAATTAAAAAGCTTTAGATTCTAAATCTACTGTTTAAATTCCCCTGTTCCCTTTCCATCAGTGTATTTGTCTCAACCACCAAAGAAAACAAAACTCTTYGAACGAAATTTAGATTATAATTTTGTAGAACTGGCATGACCTGCTTTAAAATGAAATAATACAAAATAATAATGCCTATACAACAAGTAGCAATTTAAGCAATTACCTTTACACTGGAATTATCCAGTCATACAAACACAGAAACGTTTCTTTCTTTATTCAAAGGAATGAGAACCAAGAAAATAAGCATTCTTGTTCATCTTAAAACTTTAAATGACAAATGGTTGCTGAACAAGCCTGAATCCAATATTACATGTTATGAAATTGCTCCCCATTTTATCCTATCACTCATGATATCAGTCTCTCTAACTCTGGCCTCTTCTCAATGGAAGTCTTGAACCCATTCTTCCTCTTCATCTTTTCCTCTTTATCTTGGTGGTTCATCACACTCTTATCACTTACCAGAAAAATGCTACACTGTATTTAAAAAAAAAATGTATTTTTAAATGAATTAATGATGCCTCCAAACTGCTATATGGCATGTGTATTTGTATCCCTTCAGCACAAATGGACACAGTGAGCTAAAAACAGGCAATCTTTCTAAGGCAATAAGGYCTAAGATACTACAGAATTCTGTATAAAAGGAATGTTTTCTATTAAAAGGCATGACAAACATTAATATTTTGTTTTTCTTAAACTCTCAAGGAGCTGCACAGAAGGGATGAAAGAGTTGAGACTGGTAAGGAGGGCAAACTGGTTGCAAAAGTATTCTCAGAAACAAAAAAATAAACATGGAGATCTGTTTGTAAATGATCAGTTACAATAATTTTAGTGATTACTTAAAGAAATAATACATTTATAAAAAAGCAAGTGGAAACCACACATGTACATAGTGTTTCTTAACATACTCCTCTTTCATATTCAGTAATACTACTTCTGGTCCTCTTTCCCTATCCAATCTCTAAAAACTCCAAATCAGCCTGCATGATACCCAACTGAATCCTGAAAACAGCTCCCATGCCACATATTCCCTCTTATTCAAAGAAAGAGAAGAGCTGGATTTGTTAGTGAGAAATGTTGTCCTGGAGCATATGAGGGCAGTCAGGGATGCTGGCATAATCTCCAAGAACTGAACTGAAATTAACATGGAAAGCATCTTGATTCTTTGAATCTTAGAGCATGTAACTATGTAACTAATTTAAAWACAGTTTAGAGGAAAACTTGCAAAGGGTGAACAAACTTTCCCACACGAACGATATACACTGTGCATTCTCTTCGTCCCTCCATCTTCCCAGCCAAACCACAAAGGGTAACACACACATCTGGAAATGCAATGAGCGTCCCTACTTGCACCATCCCACAGACTTTTTTTTTGTGCGTGAGAACTTTCTCGACCAAAAGTGGAATCAGTTTGATCACTTTGGTGCTGCCTTACATGTCCTCCAACTACATTGATTGAAACTTCTCCTCTTACCCTCTCTGTGCGAAGCCATGCGGTCTTTAATGTACTTTGTCAAAACTTTCCTTCAATGTTTGCAGCTTTTCTAAGCCACCATTTAGGAAAATCACCTTAACTCATCTCTATGCCTGCTCCATTCAGMTTATTTCAGCCATTTTATTTTTTCTCTAATTTTCCCTAGATGCTTTTGATTATCCAGCAGCCATTTATACTTCTTTGAAGGCTTAAGGATGCATTTTCCATTAAAATAACTTTAAATATTCCCATTAAAATAACTTTATTCACAAAATAAAGTTGAAGAAAAAAATAGTTCCATTAGCAATCAAGCCTTCATCCCCTGACTATAATTTTCTGGGATGAAGCTCACCTACTCCAAGGCTTCTCTCACACTAAGTACCAACAGTCTTGCTGCACGTTCTAGCCAGATAGGGAGAGGACCCAGCCTCTGCACTACAGGTTAATCAGGCAAAAGAGATATTTTAATTACTTTTAGTTAGGAGAAAGAGAATAGTATTTAAAAATTTATACATATATATAAAATCCAAAAGAAATCAACCTCATTCTGAAAAATTTCTTTTTGAGAAAATTCACAAAATATAAATTTGCTCCTGCAGAAGACTAAACTTCTCACTCAAAGCCATGTGGTAAAAACATTTTGTTCATCCTACAATTACTGCAAATCTTTACAACATCTGATATGAACTTACAGCAAAAGTTAAAATGTTCTTAAAGACAATGTTTAAAAATAATTAGATCCCAGAATTTCTTTTTTCTTCCCTGAACCATTCCTTCTCTGCACTTCCCATCCTTTTGAGGGGGGCATTTGGTACACCCCAATCATTTGACCACATGTCTAGCTGAAAAAAAAAATTTCAGTGATATATAATATCGCTAGATGGCTGAGGGCCTGACAGAAGCTTCAGTGAAGCCAGTAGAAGACAGTTCTCCCCTGTCTCCAGTGAGCCGAGCCTGCAGCTTTCGAAGCCTTTCCAGCACCCCTCACTAACTTTATATCAGCAGGAACTTAAAAATACCTTTCTCTCTAAAAACTTGATTAGCCTGAAGACTACCTGTCATGGGGAAACGTTGCTACAAACTTATCCAAAACAGCCAAAGTAATGTGAAAACACTCTCTTTTTTTCCCCACAAAGGTCTTTGTCACTCAGCAAACTTACTGAAYTGCAGGTCAATAATGTGCCTTCCTGCATGCTTCAATGCAATACAAACTGCATTAGACCTTCTACAAACATGAAGTGCTAAAGCTACCCTTCCCCTGTGGGTACACTAAATAATGCCACAGCCTGGAAGGGGTGAGTAACGTAACAGCTACCAATACCAAGAGGCTGACTGTGATGTGAACTCCTGCAGTGCAGAACAGAGGACAAGACCGCCAAAACAGTCCTTTAGGTGAACAAGAACCCCCCAGGAGGTTTCCTCATGCCTGCAGTTTTCTCACCCAGTTACCTGACTCCCCGATGCATCAACCTACCTGCAATTACAGAGGAACTGCAAAAGAAAACCTATGAGAGTGTTTTGAAAAAAAGTATGTCCAGTACCAAAAGCAAGGCTGCTTTGCAGAGAGCTATTGCGATAGGCTGGTCATCAGTAGCAACTTCTTCAAGGTGATATTGCTGGTTTTACCTCACCACTCAAGTGTCATGGGTAGCAACAGACCAGGCAGTGCAGAACCAGGTAGAGCAATAAACTTGAGGATGTAAACTTCAAAAGACCAGAAGGCTGCAACTGTTCTCCTCTGAACAGCTTCTGCCCCCAGCTGATAGATGATTCATGAGCTGGGAGTAGAACTGGGATCTAACACGGCACTCTCAGATGCACAGAATTTACATTTGAGTGATGACATGTAGAAAACTCAATATTTCACAGCTTAATGAAAAACTGGGAAATCTCCTTCAAAATGTTTTGCCGCAATCTTTATCCCCAGTTTTGGGCCAGATAAAACCACCACAGCATGTTAGGATAGCCACAGTGTTGTTTTAGGAGCCTGGTGTCTGATCACAAAGGTATTAACACAGCAATAACATATGGGGACTTTCTTAACAGCTTGACTGAAAAACAGCCAACAACAACAACTTTTGGCARATTCCCAAGTCTAGCCTTGGTTAATTCCTCCGTGAAGTAATAGCACTACAGTAGCAAACTTCACTTTTACATGGCCTTTCTTTCCAAACTGCTTCCAAGTCAAACAGAGCATGATTTACAATTAATGTCACATTTACATTTCTAAAAACAAAAGAAGGGTGTGCTTTGTTTCCAATAATAATTTCATGTACAAAACTTTAAAAAATTCCAGGAGACTGATGCTCTTGCCTAAGCTGACCTCTGCCAAAGCACACACGCGCCGTAGTATAACATGGTTCAGAAGTTATGCCTGTTCTAACTGCTAGGG